AGTGGCATCCTTGGCGTGGCTGTCATTGCCTGGTATGGATTCGCCGATGTACCCAAGGAGGAACCCAGTACAATTGTTGCCCCGGGGAAAGCAGCAGGAGCAGAGGGAGGAGTGGTCGAAGGAGATGGTAATGGCAGTGGAAGTGGCGATGATGCTTCTTCACCAACAGCACAGAAGGAAACAGTTGTTGGCACCATTTCGAACAATGGCGATGATGAGATAACGGCTTCGGGTGGAGGACGGGACAGAGTTCCATGATTATAAGGGAATGAAAGAGCAAAAAGGAAGTATAGCGGGTTAGGCTAGCTATTACGGTTCTGGTATATATATATCATGTGGTTCAGACTCTAGTCGAGAGAGGTCGACAGATATGGTTTAACATGAGGGGAGTTACTGGGCTGTTGGTAGGAGGTCGATATTTATATCGACAGGCAGGCGAGAAAAATAATTCTAGCATATTCATGATTAATGTATGGAGTTACCTACCATAATGTGATGAATAAAGAACTGGAAATTCGGGGAAAACACAAGATGAATAATGGAAGCAAAGCTTTACAAGTATTGGGTGGAACTAACACAGCCGAGGTATCAGGGAATCCCCGTCTGTTCTTGTGAAGAATGTGAATATGAATCTAGCAGGACTACGGATATATGCTTGTAAATCCCGTACTGGTATTTTCTTCCCATTCCTATATGTAAACCGACAAATATGATACGGACCCAAGGGTTCACTAATGAATTGCAATACAGAGTTGTAAGCAGGATCATTGCGCGTGGAGAGAACGAGGAATTCGGGAATTCGTCTCTGCGGTAGTGGCTCATCGGCACTTGTATTTTTTTTTGAAGCTGTTGGTTAAGGTTAAGGTTCGGGATACGGAATAGAAAAGGGGTTTCCACCACGGGGTTGAAGTGCTTCCCTCGAATGTGTATACGGGACTAGAGAAATGAATGGGAGAGACTGGAAGCTTGAATCGCTAAAGGGACATACGAAAGGTGCCGGATGATGAGTTTTGAGGTATGTATCGGTATCGTAATTTACCATGCACATTCAACTCGGTTCGACCATTCACCACGGGCAATATGGAATACATGTAGGGGGTGAAATGCGTCTTACGAGTAGAACGTTACATCAGCTATACATACGCATAGGATATACGACCGTATCTCCTAAATACCTATAAAATGACTATATATACACATGCAAGAGATGTGTTGATGGCCTAATGAAGAGGTATGCGTATTGTTCTTTCAGTGCATTTTTATGGGTATTTTTCGACCCATTATCCGTATTACGACCATTTCACAATTCACCCCATGTTTCGCCCCTGTTGGCCCGCTGCACATGCATTGATCCGCGCGCTAAAGGTCGCAGGGATCAAGGTCGTGCATGTGGTGGGTCGGTCTTTCAGGTCGTTCCACCGAGCACCTGAAGGCTGAAGGACGTGCCTCGATCAGCTTCTTGGTCTCCGTAGCCTCATCCTGAACGTGGAAGCTTCCTTCTTGCTGGCCGACGAGAAGAGGTCCTTCTTCGCAGACCCAAAGCCAAATTTCTCCGAACTTTGGTGTATTTGCCACTCAGAAATCGTCAGAACATTGGAAAATTAACATCCAAGCCACAGGGCGATTGCAGTGCAAACTAGGACAACCGACAAGCCTCGATTTCTCGACCTATCTCTCCACTTTTAATTCCTCTACTCTACAGGGCATTCTCGAATTCCCATCGCGACGACACTTCAGCTCTGATCCAAACCTACACATCGCAGGGCACCGCACAGCGATTAAACTTTGGATCTCCAGATTCCGACCTACAAACCGGTTTAAAAGCGACGTCGTCCCACCACTGGAGAGCTTTCCCACGATGGATAATTTTCGCACGCCATACGACACAGCACCTAGCGAAGCCTCAAATAACTACCCTGCAATGGAAGGTCACAAGGAGAAAATGCTGGAATTCATCACCAGATACCAAGATGTGCATATGAGTTTAGCTGCGACCGACCAGTTGATCCAGGAATTGCTGGTTTTCTCCCAGAGCACCGAGTCCGAGTTGCGAGACGAAAAAGAGCAATTGATCCAACAGATTCAGGACTTACGAGCGGATCTTAGCGCCGATGTACGGTCGCGAAGAGACTTGCATCGCCAGTTGCACGAAGCCGAGATTCGGGTGCACGTCTTGGAGCAAGAAGTTATTTTCATGAAGGTTGGTCATCAATACCTTTCCACCTCGAGCGTCTTCTCGAGCGGCCCCCTCTCCGACCATCACCACCTGCCAACCATCGATTTCTTGGGCTTCGAGAACTGACTTGCCTGCCTGCTTGCAGAACAGTAATCCGTATGTCGTCATATTAATTGACGGTGACGGTTTGTTGGTAAGTCTTAACCTTATTCGATTGCTTGCGCGCTCCCTGCTGACATGATGGTGCCCTCCAGTTTAAAGATAACTTTATCAGTCAAGGCCGGGAAGGAGGAGAAAAGGCCGCCCACGCCCTCCGGGCAGCGATACTGAAAGAGTGCAACGAGCATGCGAAGAACACCGAGGTTGTCGCCACATTATTTTCAAGCCTGGCTGGCCTCGCCAAAGCTATGCGTCGCGATGGCACGATTACACACGAAAATGACCTTCGGGATTTCACCTTGGGATTTACACAGGGAAAGGCCATGTTCAATGTTAAAGACGTCGGCCACGGCAAAGAACGAGAGATTAAAGGTGAGCTCCCACCCCGGACAGCAAGCCAACAAAGCCATTGTATGTTAACAAAGAATGCAGACTCGATCAAATGGCACCTGAGGAATATCAACTGCAAACAGGTTATCCTCGGCATTTCACATGACGCCGGTTATGCCCCATTTTTGACCGAGCTTTTTCAAGACGACGAGATACGCGACAGACTATGCATTGTAGAGGGCTTTCCCACTACGCGAGATCTGGTCAAGACGGGCGCCCGGATCTTGAACTTTAACGAAACCGTGTTCAGAAAAGACAAGCTAGTGGTGGAAAGGCCGGCAGAGCGTACCACCCGCAACACAACACCGACGAGTATAAGTATCAGCCCTGGGGTTATCGGCAGTGGGATCATTGGCGGTGGAATTTACAACAGTGGCTCGAGTGATAGGATTCCTACTCCGGCCACCTCGAACAATTCGACGCCCGCAACTAAACCGGCAACAATTGTAGCGGCAGCGGCCCCGACTTACGCAAGAGCTATTGGCAATGCCAGTCCGCCGCCGCAGATTACCCTGCCCATCCAGCCCAGACCTGTTACGAACGCTCGTCCATCTCAACACATAGTTGCCGCTCAACAGGCCGCCGCCGCCGCCGCCGCGGCAAAAGCGCCAGCTGTCACGTGGAATCCAGGTCGACGAGGGGTGGATCCCCCCATTCAAGTGTCCCAGACCGCACTGGACAACATTAAGAAACGCAAGGACAGCAACAAGCTCTGCAACAACCACTATCTCCGGGGTCCATGTGCCAAAGGGGACAGCTGTTGCTTTGAGCACAAATACAAACCCACAAAGGATGAACTCAACGCGATTGCCTTTTTGACTCGACTAAACCCCTGCGCTATGGGCCAGGACTGTGAAATAGAGGATTGCATTTATGGTCACCATTGCCCGAGCGTCAGGGATGGGTGGTGCACCCACCCGTTCTGCAAGTTTGAGAAGGAAGACCACCCCCCCGGAACAAAGTTCAAGACCCGGCTGGTCACTGAATAGGTTGATTACTGACTGAAAGGATTTTTGGGCGAGCAGGTGACGCGTGGTCGAAGATATTCAATGGACATGCAGTGAAACAAGATACAAGTGTAGCGGTTTTACTTGGTGCCCATTGACAGCTTTATTAAGGCCCATTTTGGCCCAGCGGTGGCTTTCTTTTCTTCCTTGAGGACATAAAAGCCTTCTCAGCCAGGCAGATATTCATTTATTAATATACACGCTCATTTCTTTTCTGGGCACACTCCAGTCCAGCAAGTTCATTTCGACGCTATAATGTAACCATTTAGATGCCCCTTCTTGATTATGATAAGGCCTTGTTTTTCTCATTGAGGCGATGAAAGGTTCGATTCAGGGCTTTTGTGCTCGTTCTGAGGGCATCACTTACCTCAGAACTCAGACCCACTTTTTTAGCTCATTTGCGGGCCGGCTGTCAGCCAGCTGGTGGTAAAAGAATGGCTAAAAGAGAGTTATTTGTGGCCAAAGTGAATTTACAAGCCTTACAGCTGTCAGATCCTTACATAAGCCACGAAAAGTGGGTCTGAGCTCTGAGATAAGGCATCACGTGCTTATCCAACTACCATCTTCTCCCAATTCAAGGGAAACAATTCTGTCAACCGGGTATAGATTTCTCACAATAGGCGCAATACATTCGTTCCCTTCCGGACATTCTTTACTCTTTTTGAGGCCATTTTCCTTGCCCTTATCTTGAGGCGATGAACGATTTAAGAGAGCATTGCCACTAGAAGAGGTATGAGGTTAACACCAGGTTGCAGCCGTCGTACGACTTATATATACCCGTAAAGGAAAAAGAAAAAAGGGAAAAAAAGATGGATAATGATAAAGTAGTCTGTCGTCCAACATCGCTCGTCAATGTCGCTGGCCTCCTTCCTAATCTTGCTGAAATGGCTAGTCTTGTTCGCGTTTATGGCAGTGGGAAACATGGTCATTGGATCCGGACTCCGGGATCTTCGGACCTTGCCAGAGCCCGGAGTTCCGGCTGACGGCCGGCGGTTCGGGTTGATAGGGGGTCGGTGGTTACATTTGTCAATGTAATGCTCCCTGGAACCACAGCGAGGAAATGGCCGCACGAAGGACCGAAAATCAATACATACGCTGTGACTCGAAGGAACACTACATCGACAAATGCACTCACAGACCCCCTATCAACCCGAACCGCCAATCGTCAGTGGAAGGTCAGCGATATTCCCAAGCGATGTTGTTTGTGGCTTGGATATCATGTGTTGAAAAGACAGTACCCTGCCTATCCATCATCAACATCCGTATGATACCCATACCATAACCAGGATTGAACTGGTGGCCTCAAATTAGTCTAGGTATCTTCCACATCCTTCCTTGGATGGGAATACTAATACCATGAGGCGAGCGCTCTCCCGCTGAGCTATACAGGCGTCGAGTGTTGTTGTTGGTTGGGGTGTTCTGTCGTGGCTTGTTTTATATACATACCTCCCGTCACTCATCTTACTCGGTCGACCGTCGGATACTCGGTAACTCTATTCTCACTACGTATGTAGATGAATGACAAAAGGGATTACGACGATAATGGATGGATGGATGGATGGATGAATGGATAGGCTAAAAAGAAAAGAAAAAAAAAGCCAAAAAAAAAAGAGAGAGAGAGAGAAAGCAGGAATATGCCCACAATCAGATTTGAACTGATGACCTCATCATGAGCTAGTTAGGTACTTCCATCTCTTTGGCTCGTGCCTAGAAAACAGAAGGAATTACTAGTGATGCGCTCTACCCCTGAGCCATGCGGGCTTTCTTGTTTTTCGCTTCTTGGTTGGTTTTCTGTTTGGTGTGCCCTCTTTTCTGCCTCCTCCTCCTCCTCCTCCATTCATGTTATGTGATTTATACCTCGGGTGGCTTGCCTACCTTTATCTTTACCAGGTATTATGCTGTGGATACATAGGTACTATGCTGGTTTGGTCCCGCTCATGAACTAACTGATTCATGGCTGATGGGCGCTTTAAAGTTTGTATTGTGCGGTAAGGTGAGGGGGGTTGCTGACGCTACCTAGGAAAGGAAGGAAGGAACCTTGATGGATAGACAGAGGGGACTGGAAGAAATCGACAATGGCGTCTCCTCGGCGGCCACTCACGGTCAACTCTTCCCAAATCCAAGTGGGAAGAAAGAGACCCAGCCCGAGTTGCCAGTGGAAATAAAAATATTACCGGAAAACGCGCCACATCGTGACTGACTGACTGACTGACTGGCTTCCAGGCTGACTTCTTCGAGAGACCAGCCAGCCAGCTAGCCAGATCATTGGCACATTAGGGATTGATAAGGGGTAACTTGGACCGAGCGCTGTGTAGAATAAAATACTGCTATGGAGAATACATTGGTTGTAGTGCATGTCATGTTTTTCTCGTCCTATTTTAAATATGATTGCTACTTTGATAGCCGCACATGCCTTGTTATTGCACCATTTTACTCGTTCATTTTTTGGCATCCTCACCTCTCAGCCCTGACCCGTAACGGGATCCCCTCCTCATCCTCATCATCATCATCCACTCGTTCCAACATGGGTATACTCTCAACCGCATCACCTCTCCCATCTCTTATATCTTCCCTCCTCGCAATTCCTCCACCATCACCCTCAACATCAGTGACCTTCTTCTCACCCCCATCCTTCTTGGCCAGCGCAACCCAAAGCGCGCTCCCAATAATAAGCCCACACCCGGCCAAGCTGAGCCCGCTCATCTCATGCCCAAAGATGAACCGATCGAACCCCGCGGCCCAGAGCATATGCGTATAAACCATGGCATTCGCGCGGTTTGACTTGGCGTCCTTGCCCAAGCCCGAGGTAAGCATGAACTGCATGAAAAAGCCACATATTCCCAGGGCGATCAACAAGAACCATTGATAGGCCGAGGCGGGCAATCCAAACTTGATATCCGGCTGCCCGATATTCAGCATCGGTGCCACCACGAGTGCCGTAGACGACACAATGGTACACCAGACCGAAAAGTACGTGACCGAGATGAGTGGATGCGCGCGGGTCCCTATAACACGGATTGCCGAGAAGGCCCCGGCTGCTCCCAGGACTCCAACCAAGCCGAGCCCAATACCGCTCAGTCGTTCAGCGGGCGTGGCATCTTCGACAGAATGCCTATGTGAAGACGCCACATCAGTAGTCGTCGTCGTCGTCCCGTTATTCACCGCCACAGCCCCAGCCCCAGTCGCCGCATCCTGTCCCATCTGGAACAAACTCGTCGGCCGTGCAATCAACACAACCCCCCCAAGCGCAAGCAAACTCGCAATCTGCTCCCTCCTCGTAAACGGCGTCTTGATAACCAAATGACAAACAAACCCAGCCACAGAAGGCGCCAGAAAGCTAATCACCGTCGCCTCCGCCAGCGGCAGGTACATGAGCGACATCCATAGAGGGAAAATTCCAAAGAATCCCGTCACGCCCCTGATGACGAGCAACCAGCGGACCTCTTTTGCGCCTAGGGGAAAATGTGGCACTTTGGAGTAGTACATGTAGATACATGCGCACACGGTGGTGATGGCCATGCGGGCGAATAGGATCTGGAAGGGGTGCATGCCCCCATTGTCGCCGTCGAATTCGAGGATTCGAGCTGAGAGGTTCATGAGGGCGCCAAAGAACTGCGAGGCTGCTACTAGGATCATGCCGCGGTTTTGGAGCCAGAGGTTTTGGAAGCGCTGGGTGAGGGAGGCTTTCCATGTTGTTGGGCGACCAGGATATGGATAGTGATGGGAAGGCGCGGGAGATGGTATGCGAGGATGGTGATGTCCTGATATTGGTGTGAGGCGGCCATCTTGTGAGAAGGGACTGGCGGTTGCGGATCGTAGGGTGTTCGGGTCGAGCAGGCCCTTGGTGAGAGCTACCTCTTCAAAAGACGGTAGACGGTCGACAATGTCGTCGTCGTCGTCATGTTGGAGTCTGTCTTTCTGACCAGGAGTTTGGGGGACGTTGAGAAAGGGCGTCATGGCCGAATGTTGAATACCATACCCCACACGATGTCGTCAGTGAGTGAGCACTAAACAAGCCCGATGATGCAGAAAAACGAGAAGGAAGCAAGACGGTGTATATTCCAGGTAAACTCTGAGTACGCCACTTTGAAGGAGACTACCTTGGAAAAGTCTAACTGAGGTCCACTTGGAAAGAGTTTAAAGTCAAAAGGAAAAAGTTTAAAAAAAAAATACCGGAGAAAGGAAGAATACTAAAAGTACAGACTGAGGGGAACAAGCCTGCAAGCCAAACAAGATGCCTTGGAGAAATGAAATAGTGGGCAGGCACTAGCCTCACCTGAAGCACGTCGGATGTGGAGAGAAGAACGTTATCCCCGGACATGCTGGTGGTCATGGGGGAACATAACCTGCATGTTGGAAAAGTGCGAACTTGGTCTCGAGTCTTGACGCTGTATATAAACCGGATCACAGTTTAGTCTTGTATGAATTGTAGACCCGGAGCCATATTTAACCACCAAAGTTACACCAGCAACTCTGCTGGCAATACAATACACTGCGTGGTTCTCGGTAAGACGCCGACCAGATAGATAGCTAGCCATCGGATGAGGCACCCGCCCGTTCAGGATGGATGGCGAGAAACGGCTCAAGCGGCAACCCGATATCGCAGAGTCGTATGCAGCAAAAGAAAAAGGACCGGGTATGGAAAGGCGTTGATGTGACGGCGGGGCATCCCAGGGGCTTTGTTTGTGCATAACCGGAGTGTGTGGTCGTCTCGAAGAGGCTGGTTATTGCAGTGGTTAATAAAGATGGTTCGCCGAGGAAGGAAGGAGAAGTGGGATTGGATGAGGGGCTGAACGACGTGGGGTTGATGATGATGCTCACTGAACCTCTGCGTCTCTCACAATTCTGAAGCTGGTCGAGATACAGTACATGTGCGCACCTGCCTGTTACGGAAAGATACTGGTTTGGTGTTCTCGACTTGATTCCTGCCAGAAAAAATGTTATTGAGTTTGAAATCCACATACCGGTAAAGGGATGCACTTCTCCCCCAAAGGAAGTCCAGCAATGTACATACAGTATATTAATATTCTGGGTGAGGACCCATCCGCGGTCAGCAGAAATTTAATGTAAGCACAATCCTGCCAAGACTGCAGTAGCACAAAGTCGGCAATTGAAGACACCTTCTCAGCCGTCTGACTGGTAGACCTCAGCCAACAATTCCATTTTTCTCAGCTTCAGAGTTTTTATCAATTCCTTGAGCATTGGATCACCCAAATCACCAAGCGCATGAGCCCAGCTGCGCTTTATTAAGTAGTAGTAGCCTGACATTCATCAAACTATCCAGGCAATTAAATCAAGCTCGCTTCTGTTCTCGGTATCATTTTGTCCTCACCTGATTTCCTCCTCCGGCCCTCATCCTCCAGACCTCCAACCATCGCTCATGGCCATTCATATCTCATCCATTAGTCCATACATACAAATCCAGATCCAGCAACCGTTTTAGACCTCAATGCTCTCACACACAGCCCGATTACGTCCTCCGTCATCCAAGGGCCCCCTCAAGCAAGGCAATGATACTCAGAAATACCAATCGATTTCCAAGGAAGCACTTTCTCACCAAAAGAATCACAAAATCTCGCCATCTCCAGTGACTCCCGAAAATGGACCATTCCTCACCCACTCCAAAACCTCAAACCCCAGCCTCCGCTCCGTCTTCTCCAACAACCCACCAGAAGCCTCATTCAACCTAACAACCATGACCGCCATCTTCAGATTCGTCCGCTTGAACTCGACAGCCTGACCGGAGTCATATCCTCCAGCACCATACTCATCCTCACCATGGAGATGATCCCTCGCAAAAGGGGAAGCCTCGTCCAAAACATAAATCGTCAGATCAGGCGCGACCAACCCGCGCCACATGGTCGCCATCCACTGCCAGTGGTCGACGGGCGCGTAATTGTCGCTTATTTGGGCTGAGCAGGCGAAGCGGTCTGAGTAGGTTAGGCAGTATCCTGATGGGAGGAGAGCTACCGGGAGGAGATCATTTTCGGTTGGGGAAGATTCTCGTGCTGGAGAAGAAGATGAGGCGGCGGTTGTTGGGGTTTGGCCGGTTACGAAATTGGTGATTTCGGCTGAGCGGGTGTGCCACGAGGCAAGTTCGGTCCAGTAGGACACGTACGGATTGCTCGGCTTGTTGTCTTGGATGATGACTACGCCAGTGCTGCTGCGGTCGGAATGACGGGTATTCTGGGAATGGTGAGAATGGTGGGATTTCTCTGAATGGTGGCTGAGGATGCTGCCCAGGCTGCTGGTTCGGGAGCCGGGTGCTTGGCTGCCGGCTTTTGAACCAGCAGTCTCACCAGCTGCGTCCTTGGAAGAAGAACCAGAACCGGGGACGGGAACAGGGACTGGAACAGCAGGGGTAGGCGTCTTGGTCTCCGAGGGTGATTCAGATGCTCGTCCAGCAGCATCTCCGGCCGCAGAAGAAGCAGAACCAGGGACGCTTGCTGCACTCCCACTTGCACTTTTACTTCTTTTACTCGCACTCTCACTTGCCTGACGAGTACCACTTGGGATTGGAGTCTTTTCGGCCCTTTCAGATTCAGCCGAAAAGGAAAGGGGACCAGCAGCACCCTCCCACTTCCTCAGCCTGCAGATATTTCCGCTCTTGAGCGCTTTTTCCACAGCCAAGGCAACGGCCTTCATCAATATAGGATTTGTCCCTTCAATGGCGATGATTGGTCCTCTGACGATCTTGCCACCAGCCTGCGGATGATTTCCAGCCCCGGGAAGAGGAAGCGGACAGACAATCTTTTCGCTCA